CGATCCCACCAAACTAACTTTTTAAAAGACAACAACACATGTATACCCATGTAACAAACCTGCATGTTCTGCACATGTATCCCATACCTTAAAATATAATAATAGAAAAGGACAATAAATGTTGAAGGGGTTACATTACTTAATTTCAAGGCTTATTATGAAGTCCCAATAATCAATCAGAAGAGTATAATATTGTCATAACAATAGAAATGCGTCACTGGAACTACAGAGAGTCTAGAAATATACTCACACATATATGTATTTATAGAGAATTCATTATTAATTTGAATAGACAGTTCTCAAAGGAAGAAGCAAACAAGCATGTAACTGGTGCTCAGCTTGTTTGATCATCACAGAAATGCAAATCAAAGCTACAGTGAGATATCATCTCACCCCAGTTACAATGGCTTATATCTGAAAGACGGCAACAACAAATGCTTGCAAAGATGTAGAGAAAAGAAAACTCCCCGTACACTGTTAGTGTGAATGTAAATTAGTTTAAACACTGTGAAGAACAGTTTAAATGTTCCTCCAAAAACTAAAAAACTAGGTACCATGTGATCCAGGAATCCCACTTCTGAATATATACCCAAAAGAAAGGAAATCAGTATATCGAAGATAAATCTGTATTCCTGTGTTTGTTGTAGCACTATTCAAAAAAAGCCAAGATTCGGAAGCACCCTAAGTGCCTGTCAACAGATGAATGGTTAAAGAAAATGTGGTATATATACACAATGGAGTGCTACTCAGCCATCAAAAAGAATGAGATCCTATTGTTTGCAGCAACATGGATGGAACTAGAGATCATTTTGTTAAGTGAAATAAGCCAGACACAGAAAGGCAAACATTGCAAGTTCTCACTTATATGTGGGATCTAAAAATAAAAAGAATTGAACTAGTGGACGTAAAAAGTAGAAAAATGATTCCCAGAGGCTGGGAAGGATAGTAGGGTCATGGTTGAGGGGAAGGTGGGGATGGTTGATGGGTCTCCAGGAAGGATACAAAAATAGTAGGAAAGTATTAATAAGCTCTACTATTTTATAGCACAAGAGGGTGACTGTAGTCAATAGTGTTTAGTTATTTTAAAATAACTAAAAGAACATGATTGGATTGCTTTAACACAAAGAGTAAATACTTGAGGGGATGGATACCCTGTTTCCCATAATGTGATTATTGTCAATTGCATGCCTATATCAAAACATCTCATGTACCCCATAAATATGTACATCTACTATATACCCACAAAAAGTGAAAATTTTTTAAATGACACATAAAATGCTTTCAAAATGCTATCCCCAAAATTGATTTTGCTTGTCAAATATTAATTGGACCCATTTTAGCCTAAATAACCTTTATAAAAGAAAAAACATAGGCAGACTCACACTTTCTGACTTCAAAACTTAAGACAAAGCAACTGAAGTCAAAACAGTTTAGCAGTGGTACAAGGATAGAAGTACAGATCAATGAAATAGAATTGAGAGTCCAGAAATAAACTCATGTCTCTGGGGACAACTGATTTTAATAAGGGTGCCAAGAGAACTCAATGGAGGAAAGAATAATCTTTTCAACAAATGGTGCTGGAGCAGCTGGATAAGCACATACAAAAGAATGAAGTTTGACCTTACCTCACACTATATACAAAAATTAACTCAAAATAAATCAATGACCTAAATATAATAACTATTACTATAAAATTTGTAGAAAACAACATAGGGGTGTATTTTCATGACCTTGGATTTGGCAGATAATTCCTATATATGACACCAAAAGCATTAACAGGAAAAAAAATTGGTAAATTGGACTTCACCAAAATTTTAAACTTTTGGGCTTCAAGGGAAACCATCAAGACAGTGAAATGGCAACCCAGCTGATGATTATGATTCCCAGATTTCCCAAAACTACTCCTGTACATTGTCCTGTGCTCCCTCTTCCTCTGGCTCCTTTCCCTTGGGTTCCTGATTCCCTGTCCTCACTGGGCTGAACTTTGAACTCAGAGCTCTGAGTGCTAGTCTGCTGGGTCTCCGTGGACTTGGTTTCCCAAGTGGTCTCACTCACAGACTCTGACAATTGCTCTCCCCTTGATCCACCCAACACCCCTCACGGGCTGAGCATGTCCTGTCTGCTCTCCTTCCCTGACTCCTGTCAGTCTGACTGAATCTTTCCTTCTCAAAAGAAAAACATATGTTGACATTTCAAAAGTTTAAATCATGCCCAGGGGAATAGTCTTACTTAGAACACTACCCCATAAATCCAGCTTCATATGGGTAAGAAATTAACTTGGTATTCTAATTAACCTGATTAGAAAATGCAGAGACACTAATTAAAGTAACATTGAGAAAATATTTTTCACTCATTTTTGATCAAAATTTTAAAATGTACATGAGAGTATAAAATATTCATATACATTAATCTGTCAGACCATGTATTGCTACAGATTTTGGATTGAAATGTCTGCAGTATTTATAAAAGTGTAAACTGTTTCCACCCTTTCCACTTTAACCCAATGTTCACATTGTTATGTATTTCTTAGTAAACAATATGCACATTTACACAATAATTCATGTTCAAAGATGTTGGCTTTAGTTCTATTGATCATAACGAGTAGAGAACAATTTATGTATCTATCAGGTACAGAATGGTTTAATTAATTATGGTATATTAACGCTTTAAGATTCTAGAGAGTGGTTACAAAATCAAGGGAGATATATATATATACTGTCATGGTAAGATTCTATACCCATTTTATTAAGTGGTAAAGCCAAGTAGCATATCAATATATACATCATTATCAAAATGACCAATATACTAGTATTTTCGTAGAGACATCTATATATAAAAAGCCTAAACTCAGCTTTAAAATAATACACATAATAATAATAATTATGGTGAACTCTGTGGTGGGGTTTAAATTGTGGAAGGACTTTGAAAAGGGAAAAATTACAATATATCTGTATACTTAGATTGTTTGAAACAAAAATACATATACACACTGCTATTTTTGTAATAAAACTCTTTAAATAAGAAAAACAGCAAAAATAGTAGCTGTGTATTAGTCAGTAAAAATAACTGCTAGCTGATGCAACAGACCAACCCGAAAATGTGAATGGCTTGACACAAGAAAAGTTTATGTGCCCATAAGTTCTGATGTGTTTAGGCAGGGGCTCTGCACTGTCACGTGATGGAGGGATCCAGGCTCCTTCCACCCTGTGATTCCATTATCTCAAAATGAAGCTGCCACATTTACTATTAGATGGAGAAAGAAAACGTGAAAATGGCACACTGGTTCTCAAATGCCTGATGTGACAAACAATACTTCTGTTTATGTTTCAGTGATAACAAGTGGTTACATGACCCTTCCTAAATGTAACTGTGCTGTACTGTTCCTATGTGTCCAGGAAGGAGACAAAGACAAAATGTGAGTGAGTAGTATACTCTCCCCCATAAGCTGTTATGTAGGAGGTGCTCAAAAAAAAAGCAACTATGATAATTTGATATTACACAACCCTTCTCATTGCCAGGAGGAGTTTCTGAGGCCACATTTGCCTTGAAGTTCTCTAATTTTTTCAAGTGCCTGCTACGTGACTGATGCTTTCAAATGTAGGCTCACAACTGTCCAAGAACCTTGAAGGTCTCAGCAGGAAGGCTCCTCAGGGAATATTCCCTTCATAATACCCTTTAAACCCTTAGTAGGCTTAGAATTTTTCGTCCATTTGATTCCTGCTCAAAATCTTAACCTGTGAATTTCGCTACACTCCACATGCCTAAACACCTGTCAGGTGCCTTTAGACACAATGAAAGCCCATATTTTCCTGTGGGGTAAGTACTAGACAAGACAAAGTATAATTTTGATTAATTATTCTGTTAAAATTTGACCTAGTACTCTCACAAAGGAACCATTTTACACCTCCTGGAAGAATCTAGGGTTTTAGGAGTTCAGCCTCAGTAGACGTGGACTCCACAGTGATTTCCATGGTCTTTCTTCATCTCCACCTTTGGTTTTTGACCACCAAGGTAAGCTCATTCATCCTTGTATGTGTTCAGTGACCAATTTCAAGTAAAACATTCCTTAAATTACTATTACAAATAACAAGTGGTTTAAAAAGAGTCCCTCTCTAAGTTTATATCACAAGAATAGTAGATTATGTGCTAAATCACATCTATTTAGAAAAGTTTGAGAGTGTGTTTAGACACACAATTGGGATGACAGGATGTGTAAATAGGAGGGCAGTTGATTCCACTCAAATTTCACAGCAAACAGCAGGGACACCAGATTCCAGTTAGAAGAGAGGGAACATGGCAGAGACTGAGGGAAGGCCGCTATAATACAGGAGAGTGTTAGGGCTGGTCAGAAATTCCTGCATCTGTGTAGTCAGCTCTCAGGAACCCCAGGGCTCAGCCAGGAGGACCCTAGGTTGATAAAGCCCACAGACTATTCCCAGATTGTGTTTCATTCTCATTGTCTCCTTCCTTTTGTAGGCCTGCCTTGAGTACCATGGCCACAGGGTCCTTCTTTTGGTCACTTGAGAGACATTATGCAGTGCTGAGAAGACAAATAAATTAAGGGAAAGAGGTGTACTTCAGGCTGTGAAGAGTGAGAATAGCATGGGCTCTCGATGAACTCAGACCAAACTTGTGATTTATCAGCCATATGATCTTGGGCAGGTTACCCAGCTCCATGAGACTCAGGTTCTTCATCCAGAAAACGGGTTTGATGGACCATTATCTGTAGGACTGTTGTAATGTAGGAAATGTATTAAAATGCCTGGGATGATGCCTGGTATATATTGGATATTTAATGATTGACAGCTATTTCCAGTATTACCTTGACCCCAGGTGCTACCACTTTCTCCTCTGGAATATTTTGTATTGTCTAGGACATCTCAGAGAATCTGCAATTCAATAGGAAGCTGCATTTGCTTGGTGCATATGTATGTGTGATATAATTTCATAGAGCAACAGATAAATACAGATAAGAAGGTGAGAATTAATGACTTTTTCCCTTTATTTCTCTGTTCCATAACACCGGTTCATTTTTATTGCTAAGTTCTTACATTCTCCAAGAAAATGCCTGTTCCAATGTCATGGTATCTTATTCCAAATCACAGCAAGATGGAAGGTTTCCCAAAATATTTTACAAAATGGCAAACTCTTACACTTGAAATGGATAAGTAAACCTACATGTGTGATCAGTGTCATCCATACACTTAGATGTTGAAACTAATTAAATCTTTTATTACAGGAGCAATATTTGAAAATTAACAAAAGGAAACAGAAAGAAATCTCCAAGTCACCTGATGGAAGAGAAACCTAAAGACACTATACAATGTATTCCCCTCCATCCACTGTGCCCTCCACTACTGAGAACATTGACTTCTCTCATCAAACACAGAGGGAAGAATGGGCCTGATTTCACACAGGGCAGGGAAGCTGCTGGATGTGGCCCTGAAGCATGCATTGGCTCAGTTCCCTGCCCACTGGCCCTGGTTGCATCTCTTGCTCAGACTCCCTCTCCCTCCTCTCTCAAAGCCTCTTCATAAAGGGATGGGTAAGAAGTGGGATCCCTCCCATTGGCATTGGCTATATACTCAAGAACTTTCATCTTGCTGGTCTCTGCGTGGGCCCTTGGACCCCACAGGAACTCATAGCATGTGGGATCACTGCCGGGCACCTCCCGGTACACCAGGTAGTTTTCCTCCACCCAATCTTGGGTGAGGAGCTTCTTGGGCTCCCCAAATAGGAAGTGCTCCCTCCCAGCATACACCTTCATATCACTCAGCACTTCCCACATAGCCTCTTCAGGGACACAGTTGCCCTCCATGAAGATTATGCCCAGGACTAATATCAGGAGGCCAGACTTGGGCATGCTGTGCTCATCACCCAGTATACCATCATAGGAGAGGCCGAGAGAGGTGACAAGGTTGTAGGAGTGGCTAAAGGGGTCCACTTCCTTCATGTCAATGCCAAAGAGCAGCTGCATGCATTCAGAGGTTTCCCTAAATATGTCAGGAAAGTATTCCTCGTAATTTTTGATGACACTCTCCAGCATTTCTGCCTTTGTGATTGGCTTCTTGACTCGATACTTGTGGAGCAGTAAATGAACCAACTCAGCCATCTTCTCATCTAGTATATCTTGGAGAAAGGACTCTGGGTCTTCTATGTTGGGCAAGGTACTGGGCCCCTCCTCTTCTTGGCTGCTGGAGTCCTCATCAAGTAGGCTCCCTAGGATGGAGTCCATGGCAGTGGGGGAGGAAGAAGCTCCCTGAGGACTCTGGGGAGGACTCGGTGACTCAGCTGCAGGCACCTCCTCTAGAGTACCTGCATTCAGAGTAGAAGACAAGGAGGCAGCCTCCTGCTCCTCAACTGGGAGATCCCATGCACCCATCAGGCCGGGGGCTTCTTCTTGGGTCTGAAGACCTTCCTCAGGCTTACAGTGCTGACTCCTTTGCCCAAGAGGCATGGTGACTCTGGTCAGATCAGCAGGCAGCACTGTGGGAAGGATCTGGGTGACAGGGAACCACAGGCCTGGGGAGAGAGGGAGCGTGAGAGCAGACTCAGCTGAAATATGAACAATGGAGAGTCTGGCGAACACCTACTTACAGGCCTTCTCCTCCAGTGATCCTCTCGGGCCTTCTGGGGCTCCTGTCCTACTGCGTGGCCTGTTCTCTAAGAATCTGAAAAAGAACGTGAGAAGGCTGCTCAAGATGCAGCTGGACATCAGAGCAGAATGCTCCAGGACTGAAGGTAGGGGAGGCGAGGCTGCAAGTTGGGGGTCCCTTTCTGTACTTAGGCAGGTTGGGCCCTTTGCATGTTGAGGGTGATCATCTCCTCTTGACTGCTGGCACTGCCTGGGTTTCCTATGCTCTGAGACCTAAAGACACTCTCACAGACAAAAGCCTCACTGCTCAGTTTTTGGGGCTTCTAGAAGAGGAACCATGGAGCCCTCAGGCTGCAAACTGCAAGAACCATCATGGCACCCCAGCACTGTCAGAAAGGTGGGCAAGACTGCGTTTCTCACTGTTTTGGAGTGGATGGTCTCCTGTGAGCTTAGGGCTCTCACCTTTCTCCTGCCAGGGCCTGAAACACACACTTCTGTTGACATGAGACACTCTCAGATCAATAGCTCACTTTCCTGATATGAAAGAGGACATGTGGAGATCCACATCTGGCCACATACTTCCAGGACTACCCAGGAATGACAGCAAGAGGTGGTGATATTCAGCTGGGTCCATGTGTCCTGGGGTAAGAAGCCTGCTTGTTCCCCATCTTGATGCCCACTGGGGCTGGGACCCACCCTCTGTTGACCTGGGCCACGTCCTGAAACCAAAGCTCTATCTCCAGGACACATTGGAAGAGGAAACCAGGGAAATGGAAACACCCATGGTTCCCTGTGACTTCCCATGGCTGACAGAAGGGGCAGGGTAGGGCTGGGTCCCATGTGTTTGGTATGTGGGGTCCCCTTGACCCCCACTTGATTCTGAGTATGACCTGGGACCCTCCCACTACTGACCTAAGTGTAGCCCTCTCAGACCAAAGCCTTCCCCTCCCTGAGACCAATGATCCCAGTGTAAGAGAGGGGCCTCAACAGATAGTCCTGCACATGATCTCTGGAGAGACAGCAGGGGCAGAGCAGACTTCTGTGTGACCCTCCTCTGTGTTCTGGCCAGGGGAAACCCTCAAGGTTTCTCACCTGACTCTTGGCAGATCCAGTGACCACTTTATTTGTGGACTTGATGGGGCTCCTTTTGTTGGCTCAAAGTCGTCCTCTGAGAACACAGTCCTCACCTGCCTGAGATTCCAAAACAGAAATGATGGACCCCACATCCCATCACCCGGTGTGCCGTTGTCCAGGGCTGATGGCAGAGGCTGGCCCCTTCGGTTCTGGGATGGGGATTCCTCCAAAGTCCTCTTGTGGGTTTTTCATCTTTACTCCTGCCGGGGCCTGTCCTTCCTCGACTCCAATCCCCTTAGATGAGCAGATGTATTCCTTTACACCAAGATCTCAACTCCCTGAAGGTTCCCCAACTTCCTGCCTGTGTTATAAGTGAGCTTCCCATCTAGGGCCACCCGTGATCAGGTCCCCTTTGTGCCAAGGACAGGGGACAGCGAGACTCTGTGGGGTCCCTTCATTATGGGATGGGTAGTATCTCCAATCCTCACGAAGGAGGCACACCTTGAGTCCTAAAGATCCTGAGACTCCTCCCTCTGCTGACCAGTTGTGGCTCCCCATCTACTGACCTGTCATCATCCCCTTGAAACCAGATGCTCACTTCCATGAAACCTGCCACCCCCAACCACGTGGCAGAAATGAGAGCATGGCACACGCCTCCCCTACCTGGGGCTTCCCAGGGATGAAAACAGAGGAAGCAGGGATTTGTGAGGTCCCTTTTTCTTTGGCATGTGAGGAGGTAACTTCTTACCTTCAGTCTTCACCCATTTTCCTCTCCTTGACTACCGGCAGATCCTGGGCTCCACCCTGTGCTGACCAGGTGTGGACCCCTCTGCTGACCTGAGGACCTGCCTCAGACCAAGGGCCCCACCTCTCTGAGACGTGGGAGACAGAAAGTGAAGTGGTGCTACATGGACACCCCTGCATGGCATTCCAAAGGCTGACAGATGGAGCAGATTTCAGGGGTGCTTCCTCTCTCTGGGTGTCCTCCAGGTATTCAGATTTACTCCTGACAAGGTCTATCCCTTTCCCTCCTGCTGAATTGTGGATGGGTTTTGCAGGCCAAGGCCACTGTCTCTTGGAGAACCCCAACTAGGAAGTGGGGAGGTGCCCCTCTTTCCTAGAATCCTGCCTGGGGCCTCCCAGGACTGATGGCAGGGGCAGGTTTTCTACCTCAGCAATAATTGGTCGACTGAGTCCTCCCTCAGGGCTCTGGGACTCCTCCCTGGGCTGACCTGAGGGTTCCCTCCTCAGACCACAACCCTCTCCTCTCTGACACCCCGAAAGCACAGTGAGGACGCACCGCATGTGGCCACTATGCCTGGGACCTCCAAGTGCCAAGGTCCCCGCTGACCTGGAGTCCAAGGTCTCCTGAATCCTCCTTCTTCTTCCTCCCCTTGATCCTGGCAGGGCTAAACCTGAGACCCTCTCTGTGGACCTGGGTCTCCCTCTGTCATATTCCCAAGGCCGAATGGGGAGGCGCCTCAGCCTGAGATGGGGGCGGAGGTGGGCCCCCGTCCTGGGCTGCTGGGTCCCCTCAGGCCTCCTACAGGCCTCCCTTGTCTCCCAGCAGGGACTGGGCCCTGGCTGTGCTCCCCGCAGGTCGTGCTCGTGATATCAAGCCCCTTCCCTCGGTCAGTCCAGGATGCACAAATCAGGATCTGTGTGCCTGGTGGCCATGCCAGGATCTTCCCAGGGCTGACAGCAAAGATGGAGCCTTCCTCTGTGGGGTCTCAGACCTCCCTCATGATCCTGACCTTGATGCCTGGCAGAACCTGGGCCCTGCCCTCTCCTAACCAGCCCTGCCCTGGTCACGCCAAGCTCTGACCCCAGAGTCAGAATTTCTTGGGGCTCTCTCATGTTTCCCTGTTCAGATTTCATTGTTGATATTGTTTGACTGCTCCTTTTCTTTCTTCTTCTTCTTTTTTTTTTCATTCTCCATTCTTTAGTTTTCCAGGGTTGTTTTGGGGAGCATCAGACAGAAGCCCAAGGCTGAACACGGTGGCTCACACCTGTAATCCAAACACTTTGGGAGGCCAAGGGAAGAGGACTGCTTGAGCCCAGTAGCTCAACACTAATCTGGGCAACATAGCAAGACTCCAACTAGACAAAAAAAAAAAAAAAAAAGAAGAAGAAAGAAAAAAGAAAAATTAGCTGGGTGTGGTGGTATGTGACTGCTGTTTCAGCTGCTGGGGAAGCTGAGGTGGGAGGATCACTGGAGCCCAAGAGGTCAATGTTGCAGTGAGTTGTGTTCACACCACTGCACTCCAGCCTGGGCAATAAAGTCCTGTCTCAAAAAGCCAAAGCAAAACAAACAAACAAAATCAAAACAAAACAAAAAAAACCAGATGCCTGAGCTTGACGATCATCTTAGCAGCTAAAGTTAAGGAATTACATCTGTCAATATGAGAAAAAATAGAATTGCCATCTTTGCAATATTCTGTTTCCTATCAATGATATCATATACTGCCTTCTTTATGTGGGTGCTCTTTGAACTGTATCTATCAGTACTTCTATAGTTGGCTCAGTAAAAATTGTACATGCTTTGGTTAATCTTCTTGTTAGGTAATTTTGGTATATTGCTGCTGTTGACAATGGAGTATTTTCTATGACACATTCTTAATAGTTATTGTCAGTTTTGCAAATCTTTTGATTTTGCTGTATTTATCTTCTATCCACTATTTTTCTCATGTATCTTATTCATTTCACTATCTCAGGTGTGCATTTTTAAAAACTTTCTAGATAGACTGTTGTATTACCATATTAAATATAACTCTTTCTTCTTAATGTACATTCCTTTTATTTATTTTGATATCCATATCTCTGGCTTTGTATTATACAACTTTGAAAAATAGCAATGATAGCATACATTTAAGACTTGTCCTTGACATGAATGCTTCCAACATTTCAAAATTAAGTATATTTGCTATTGATTTCATGTAACAAAATTTCCTTCTACTCTTAATTTTCTAGATATTTTTTATCATGAATGATTACTGATTTTTTCAAAAGATTTTTCTGTATTCATTAATATGAGCACATGTTTTGTCTGTATACTCTTGTTAATATAGGGAATCACATTTAAGGTATATTTTAATATCAAATTGTATTTTCCTTCTTCAGACACATCCTGTTTGTCCATTTAGTAGGCTGCCATGTTGAATTGGCTGTTAATTTATTTAGGATATTTGTTGCTATGTGAGTGATTTTGGTTTAAGTGTTCCTTTCGTGGCGAGGTCCTCTTCTGGTATTTAAAACAAAGAATGCTAGTCTCAGAAAATGAGTTGTACAATTGCCCATCATTTTGTATGGTTTTTAAGAGTTTGCTTAGGATAGCAATGAGTTCTCTCTAATCATTTAGTAAAACTGGGCTGTGAAACTTTCTTTCCTTGGATCATTTGTGGGTGGCTTGAGAATACAGTTTTAGTCTGTAATGTTTGATTAAAGTTTTCTATTTCTTTATAGACCAATTTGGTCATCTTTTTCTAAAATATAGTTCTTTCACTTAGGAGTTCAAATTTAATGGCATGATATTTATAATAAAACATATTAATTATAGGAAGTGTTAAACATGTAAAATAGTAGGGTATAGTATAATGTTCCCAATATACTTGATATTCAGCATCGAAAATCTTCAATCCATTGCTAATCTGTTTCCAACTATACTTCCACCTACCCTGCCTCTGAAATGCTGGAATAATACACACCAACTCAGTAACCTTGGATAGGACCCTGGGTCAAATAAGCCAGTTCATGGTACAGTGCAGCTGACGTGGCTCTGAGACAGCCTGTGGCTCAGAGAAAAGGGTCTGGCCTCAATAAACCAGCCTCCCTAGACCCCTACTTCCTACTCTGTGTTCTAGGGCCCTGAGGTACTGCATACCTTTGTTCTCTTCTAGACACTTGCTCCTATAATACTGCTAGCTAGCACTGCTTTCCTGACACACTTGGGTCTCTCTCAAAACATCTTCCCTGTGAGGACTTCTATGAATACTCTTTCTTTTTCTTGATAGAATTTATGTCTTTATTTATTTATTTTCATGATTTCACTTTCATTTTAGATTCAGGGGGTACATGTGCAACTTTGACTATTTCAGCTGTGCATTTTTAAAAATTTTTCTAGATAGACTGTTGTATTTTAGTCTATCAAGAATATAAAACATCATAAACATATATGTATCCAGTAACACAGACCTCAAAATACATGAAGAATGAATTAAAGAGATAAATAAATAATTCAACAATCATTATTGGAGACTTTAAAACCTAATTTCAATAAAGGTATAACAACTAGATAGATGGTCACCATGAGTGTAGAATATTTCAACAACATAAACAAGCCAGACCTAACCTCCATTTATAGAACACAACATCCAAAACAACAGATTATTTTTCTCAAATATATATGGCTCACCTTCCAGGATAAAAAGTATGTAAGCCCACAAAATAAGTCTCAATAAATATAAAGGGATTGAAATTGTACGAAGTATTTTCTCTGTCTGTGATTGAATAAAATATAAAATCAATAACATTTGTAAATTTCAGATATTCACAAATTTGTGAAAATTATACCACATACTCCTAAACAACCATGTAGTACCTCAGGGCCCTGGAACAGAGAGTAGGAGGTAGGGGTCTAGGGAGGCTGGTTTATTGAGGCCAGACCCTTTCCTCTGAGCCATGCACTGTCTCAGAGCCAGGTCAGCTGCAAAGTAAAAAAATCACAAAGGAAACAAGAAAATATTTTGAGATAAATGATAACGAAGATATATGTTCACACATGCACATGTGCACATGGACAGTAGCTTATCACATGGTTCAGGTGCCCTAGCATGCATTGTTGATTGCAGAGTTTTAGAAAGATGTGGTGATGACCCATATTTTGCCACTTCCAGAGACCAGATGTACTGTGCAATTAACCAGAAAACATTGATTTATAGAGCAAGAAAATAAGAATCTCTCCTGAGCTTATATCTAAACATATCTAAACGATAATAAACATATCTAAACTATAATGGAGCCCCCCCCCCATGCTGATCTCGTGATAGTGAGCAAGTTCTCATGAGAGCTGATGGTTTTAAAGTATAGCACTTCCTTGTCCTTGCACACCCTCCCTCCTGCAGCCTTGTGAAGAAGGTGCCTGCTTCCCCTTTGTCTTCCATCATGATTGAAAGTTTTCTGAGGCCTTCTAGCCATGCTTCCCGTTAAGCCTGCAAAATTGTGAGTTAATTAAACTTCTTTCCTTTATAACTATCTGGTCTCAGGTAGTATTCTTTATAGCAGTGTGAGAATGGACTAATAAAGGATTACAGCTATGCCTGAACAGGCTACATCAATAATAATAAAAATAAAAACTACTGCAAAAGATGAACAGTGGCCACGTTTGCCAAATGGAAGGGTTTAGATGGGCTGTCTTCTCAAGTCAGGAACACAATCCTCTACATACATGATTACCAGTGCCACACCATAGATTACAAGGCAGCACAGGCAACCCAATCAGAGACTATAAGATATCCCTGAATAAATAATTTTCTAAACAGCTTCAATAAGCGTGTTTAGCTGACAGCCTAATATCTCTTTCAGGGACTAACTTTATACCTGAAGTCATAATCTTTTGGAGATGGCCACCAATCAACGATTAGGCAATGCAGTTGTAGTGAAGATCATACACATCTCAGAAAGGCCACCAGCCAATGACTGAGCAAGTCGAGGGTAAAATGGCTTAGAAAATCACAAAAAAGGACTCCTCCTCCAGGCAATCGTTGCTTCAGACCTCCAAATTAGACTAGCAAAGACTTTGTGAGATCTGCCCAAAAGACAAGAGGGACAAATTGGATATATACAATTGTTAAGTTCATACATGACACACAAAATAACATATTATTTAAAGGTACATTGTGATTAAGTAGAGATTACATTGTAAACTTTAGGGCAACCACAAAAAAAATAACTAAAAGAAATATATATAATTGGCCAACAATGAAGATAAAATGGAATAATAGAAAAATGAGTACCTATTCACAATAGCAAAGACATAGATTCAACCCAAATGCCCTTCAATGATAGACTATATAAATAAAATGTGGTACATATAAACCATGGAATACTATTTAGCCATAAAAAGGAATGAGATAATATCCTCTGCAGTGACATGAATGGAGCTGCAAGCCATTATCCTCAGCAAACTAATGAAGGAACAGGAAACCAAACAACACATGTTCTCACTCATAAGTGGAGCTGACCAGTGAAACCACAGGGAGGGGAACAACACACAATGGGGCCTGTTGGTGGCGCTTGGGGAAAGAGAGCATCAGGAAAAATAGCTAATGCATGCCAGATTTAATACTTAGGTGATGGGTTGATAGGTGCAGCAAACCACCATGACACATGTTTACCTATGTAACAAACCTGCACATCCTGCATATGTATCCTGGAACTAAAAATAAAGTTTTAAAAAACGGATTGCTGACAAAGTAGAAAAAGCAAAAAAGGAAAAAGTTAATAGATGGGACAAATAGAAAACAGATAGTGGTGAGTTTTAATTCAATCATTTTGATAATTATGTGAAATATGAATGGTCTAAAAATACCAATTCAATGACTAATTTTCAGATTAAAGCAAGAAGAAACTATATGCTTCTACAAGGTACTTACATTAAAATATAAAGACATAGGTAGAGTAAAGGTAAAGGATTAGGAAAAGATACAATGTCAACACTGATTAAAAGAAAGCTGATCTGGTGTGGTGGCTCATGCCTGTAATTCCAGCACTTTGGGAGGCCAAGGTGGGCAGATCACGAGGTCAGGAGTTCGAGACCAGACTGACCAACATGGTGAAACCTCGTCTATACTAAAAATGTG